TATTTCCATCCGCTATGCTCGACTACACTCCAAACACCTAGGGTCTGCGACCCGAACTCGCCCCATCCACTATGCTCATTGCGCTCAAAAACACCGGGTGTGACCTGAACTCGCCCATCCAGCCTACGCCCGACTACGCTCCAAACACACAGGTCTGCGACCCCATCTCATCCCCATCCGGCCACGCTTCGAGGCGCCCTCCAAACAACGGTTCAGGTCTGCGACCCCGATCTCCTTGGCTCGGCTATGCTTCGACAAAGACTCCAAAAAACTACCGGTCTGCGACCCGATCTCGCCTATCGGGATCCACGACTTGACTCCGCCGATCCCAGCGCGAACTGCAAGACCGAGACGAGATCAGCGAGCCCCGTCTCAATCGATCCCTAAAACTAACTAACCGCCTCGGCTGCACAGGCAACACCAAGGACAGGACCCACGACTTTCGACTCGCCCGATCCCACGGCGCGCACCGACGCCAAGATCAGTGAGCTCCGTCTCTTCTGACCCCTTGACTAAACTGCCTCCCTCGATCCCACGGTGTGCATCGACGCCAGGATCCGCAAGCTCCATCTCACCCGATCCCTAAAAAACTAAATGCCACGGCTGCGCAACGACGCCTTGGTTAAACAAACTCCATTTTTCGACTAAAAAACACGCACACACGCCCGCTGACAAACACCCCCAAACAATTCTGTCCGAATCGCCCGGGGGCTACACCCGTGGGTGCGCTCGCGCGCACCCGCAAACAAAACAAAACCTCCCCCGCTGGCAACATGAAAAACCCCCTAGACGGTTTTGCCTAAACCGCCTGGGGGCTCGGGGGCTACACCCGCCGTCAAGGCAGAAATCCCCTAGACGATTCTGCCCGAATCTCCCGGGGGCTCCTGTCGGGTTCATAAACTCAGGGTCCCTCGTGGACCGGCTTCCCCAAAGGCTAGGCCCAAGCAGACAACACACAACTCATGGGCCAGCCTAAGTATCTAAACAGCAGGCCAGAAGGACGATCCAATCAACCGACCGGAAGGTCTAGCCGAGGAGGAGTAGCGCCCGCTTTCCGACTCCGGCCCACCTCTCCGACCGGAGCGCTCACTTCGGTCTCCAGTCGCCTCCGGACGGCCTCTCCGACCGGAAGGCCTGGCCAAAGCACCACTTCCGACTCCGACCTCGTGTCTCCGACCGGGGTACGCAAAAAACTCTGCTCACTGTTCTTCTACGACTAGCGCAGCCAGAGCCGACTGGGACTAACCGACCGGGGACGTCGGCTCAGGAAGGATTAGGCAACGAACGAAGAAAGTAGGGCAAGGCGCACAAGTCAAACCACGATACCAGGGACCATACCCTGTACACCTGCAGGAACAGTACTCTGCAATCGTCCTGACACAAATAGTGTTGTAGGCGCCTACATTTTCCCCTACAGTATTGTAGGCGCCATTAAACTCCTATACGGTAAGGCTCACCCCACATGCCTCTGGACATCGACAGTGTTGTGGGTGCCGGGATTTACCGTACCGAATGAACATGGTGAAACCCCTCAAGACGACGTAACCTCCCACGTACTTCCGACATCCAACAGTATTGTGGGCGCCTACCATCATCCTGTACCTACCGGCGTGGGCAACAAGGTTTATAAGCGTACATACTCTCTCCCTCTCACTTGTAAATCCCTCCCCTTCATCTATAAAAGGGGATGCGCTCTCTCCCAAGAAACTCAGTTGATCCAAGTTGATCAAAGTCATTCCATTTTCACTAGATCGATCAAGTTCACTAGTTCACAACCATAGGACCGCTAGGTTTGAACCTCAAGCACACGCTTGAACACTTAGCTCATAGCAGAGCTCCTGTCGCTCTCGGCCCTTCCGACCGAAGCCGACCGGACCTCTTATACCCCCCATCTTTCTCCTTCTCGTTTGTAACCCCACTGCAAACTTCGAGCACCTGGGCTCAGGAATAAAGTCATCGACCGACTCAAACTGGACGTAGGGCACGTTGTCTGAACCAGTATAAACCCTGTGTCATTGAGTGCTAGGCCACCTCCGATCACAACGTACGGTAAAACTACAAATATTTACTTGTTGGTCACTTTCTGCACCGACAGTCCCTAAATAATTGTCCCTAAATAACGCGCACGACATTATAAAATGCATGCAACATTTGTATCTCCAAATAAATTTATTATGAAAATAGATTCAATGATATATCTAATGATATTAATTTTGTATCATAAATATTAATATTTTTTTATATATATTTAGTCAAAGTTGTTTCTCGGGAATTTTTCGAGAAGCGAAGATGACACTTATTTGGAGACGGAGGGAGTAGCTACAAATGGTAGCAGGTGGGTTTAGGGTGTGTTAAGCATAAATAAATCATCCAAAATCAAAACCAAACACAATGAAAACCTGTGGGTGCAATTCGAAAACCGCATTGGCAGGTTTTGGGTGCCCGTTGGGTTTGCTCGTCAATGTGTCCTCACCTCATTGGTCCTCAGGCTCAGTGCTTGTAACTATAGTGGCCTCTACCCAACTATTCGTTATGGAGTGCACCACACCACTGGCAACTATGCCATGTTGACCACTGCATCTAGGGATGTCGAATGCCGCTCGTGTGGCATCCACCATGCGCCTGCTGCCAGGCACCTACGCCCGTGGATAGTGTGCCTACACTACCTCCAGCATACTGCAAGCACTCAGATGGAGGATGAATGGTCGATGGCAAATACAATGATGTCTGTCACATGTGTGCATAGGGTGTGAGGATGTCGAACGGACTAATGGGTTGATAAGGAGTCTAGGAGGGCACATGGTTCCCACATGTTCAAGGCCCATACGCACGTCCAAGGGTAGAATCTTAAACTACCTCCTAACTTAACCACTTCTTAGGCTTGATCCGCAAGGGCCCTTTGGTGAAGAATATAATAACACACACTCATACAAACTTGGTGTGGAACCCATGGATACACACATCCATGGGTCTCATTGCCACCCTACTCATCATTGCTAACAAAGAAATGCACAAGCAACAGCATTCCCAAGATTAAAGAGTGAAAGTCCCAGTTTAGTTTCAGTAATTAAGTAACAAAATTAGGTGAATTAATGTGTTTCATGTGAGATGAATAGGAGATTAGTCCACAAAGCTAGTTGAGCAAGACATGAAGGCCATGAAGGTGAAATGGCATGTAACGCATGTGTTGCAATGAGTCAACTAGTGAAGAGTTGAAGATGAAGGAGATGAGAAGATCAAAGATGATGATCAATATGATGAGGTGAAACATATTGCATACGGGATATGAAGTAGTCTCATATGACAAGATGGTGAAGATCAAGGCAAGACTTGTCTATGATGGGCCATGCAAGGGTGAAGGGCAAACTAGAGGCTTGAGCACAACGAACCGTCAAGGCTACGAAGTGCGAGAAGATTCTTTAGGGGTTTCATTATGTCCCTGGGACTCTCCAAACACCCAGATCAATGACCTCTAAGTAGCAGGACATTCTGGCACGTCAATAGGAGAAGTTAGTGGGGCCTACCAATATCCATCCCAACCACTCTAAAGCATCTTTAACTCAACAACGGTTAAGCCAAGATCCAACTTTGAGCCAACCGGATCTTATCCTAGTTGAATGACCGTGACATCTAAGAAGGATAAATTAGGCAACTTAAAAACTAATGGCCTCTATAACCTACTTATGAAAACCTATGGAAGATAATATATAGATGTGCATTACGAGTTTTGCTAAGTGTTGCTATCTCTATCGCAAAAAGGTTCAAAAATAGTGCTGGGCACTTCTAAACCCAAAAAAAAAAACTAAGCCCAAATGCCGATTTTCTTGGTTTTTGGTTTTGGCTTTCGTTTCAGTATCTGAGAAGTCCGGTTCTTGGCTTTGGCTTCGGTTCTAGGACCTAACTAAACTGAGTACCCGTGGGACCAACCTAGCCCCACATTCCACTTGGAAAACTCATTGATTTACTGATTATTTTTTTAAGAACTATGGTAGATGCTCTAACTTCCTCATCATCTAAGAACTTGGAATACAGCACATAACAGGAGTTACATTTTTACATGTTTCTTAGGTCATGCGACTTGAGAGCTTTGATTCCTAACGTATGTGTTTGGATGATTGCCTTATCATTCATTTATACCTGTTTTGGATGAATGGATGTAAGGGACTTGTACAGTGCCCGTTGAGATTGACACAAAACAGTACCAATCCAAAGGAACTGACCCAGTCACCACTATAACGTGTACCATCAAGTTTGGACCAAATTTCACAAAATCGCTCTGCATATGCTGCGAGGAACAGGGACAAGTCTTTACGAAAGACACGTTCCCAAGGGTTCTTTCATATCGGGTGCCAAACCATAAAAGAAGACAGAATGTGATGATGCAAACAACCATTCCAATAGACCTAGCATAGTGACATGTCAAGTTTGGGAAAAAAAATTACTAGGTTCACACAAACGCCAATTCGGGGAGATTTCTGCTAAGCAGATAAAATAGTCATACAGGTTAATATTTTGTATAGCATTTCAGTGTAGTTCATTGGAAGGCAGCTTGTTACAATGCCTGAATTCCATGGGAACAGCTCCACAGTCCGTTGCGGTTGTAGACGCTGCAAAGGAAGCAACTGGAAAAGAGTTCTGCCTATATATGAATTCTTACCTCCTCAAGCTACATAACAGCAATAGGTGCTAAAGAGGGTCTAAGTAGAACACCATTGACACTGATTCCTCACACAATCGCCCTGAAAATTTGGAACGGCTTTTAGGACTCAAAAGAGGAATGGAGCATTTGGTCAACATTTTCTAATAAGACGAGGCTCCCAAGCCAGTATCTATTGCCAGTCGCAGCTCTTTAATTAGCTTACCTAGTAGAACATTAACTTACCATTATGTCAATTGCTCAAGCAACAAAATGACTACCTCTAAATACATTTGAACTGCAGGGCTTAACATCAAAAATCTAAAATGGGTATTTAACTCAATAACTCACCACTAGTCAACAGTTAATATCGCCCATAGGTCCTCCCAAGATCATCATGCCTCTCATGCTGAAACTCACCATATGCAGCATGAGCCTTTGGGGCTGAATAGCTATCGGAAGCATACGGATATGTTCTCTTTGAATCCATTGGTTGATGTGTAGCTGAAATATGTGTTGTCCTCTGCTCAAAACCTGGATAGCCAGTCTGTGTGTATGAAGGCTGTGCTTGTTGTTGTTGCCTTTTAAAGGTTTGTTCAAGAAATTCTTCCCACTTCCTTGAATGCACATTCCTCATGGTAATCACTCTCTCCATGTAATTTTCTCTAATCACTCTCAGCGACTGCATGACAAAGGATGTTGACATCAAGAAATGATAACAACAAATGCACCAAATGCAGAGAGTTACTATGTCATGTAACTGGTACATATCCACTAGTGGATATTTTTGCTAGAGGGGAGCACATTACAAAACATGAATTGAGCAAACATAACAAAAGGCACAAACTTGACTTCAGTGAAAATAATTATTTGTGACATAGCCCTTATACAATAAAAAGTAAAGTAAATTCCACAAACCTACCACTATTTTTGTCTAATTATCACAAAACTACAACTTGTAGATTGACATCGCTAGAAATACACCTGTTTAGACCTTATCATGAGCAGCGAGCACAACAAAACTGACCTGACCTGTGCAGCTGATGACTCCGATTTCCAGGCCAATATGATTGTCAGGTCAGGCTGGAGATCCAATATTTGACCAGAAACTAGATAAAATCTGACAAATACTCAGACCAACCCATCTCTGGGCTGAATTATTTGGCCTAATTACAAGCTCGTACTTGCAAAGTTTACAACAGGGTTTTTTCAAATCCAACCTGAAATCGGCCCAACCCAACAAATAAAACAGGTCTATACTTGTACTATGCATCCATGTCAACAAAGCTGTTTGCTAGGCAACCTGGTCCTATGCTGCCTATTATGCTTAGGGGAAGGGAGCAGGAGCAAGACATGGATGCAGATGCTAACGTGGATGTGCAGGAGGGTTAATCCAAGTGATCTGCCACAGACATGGATCCAACTGGCCAGGAGCAGCAGACCTAAAAAGTGGTAATTTTGTGAAGAACCCCCAAAGTAGCAATGGGTTTTTGAAATGGGCTCTCAAAAAGTTGTAGCTTTGTGAGTTGTGCAAACAGACGACAATAGCAGTACGTTTGTGAAATTTACTCTAAAAAGTAAAATGACTTTTTCGTACAACCAGAAGTTTATTGTAACTAAAGGATCCAAAATTATCAGGTAAAAGAACAGTGCATTACCAATGCCATGTTAGATACATCAAATTTCAAACAAGGTAGACTAGAGATAGCAACTCATAATGGAACAACAAATATTAAGTAGATTCTATCCAACTCCAAATCTCAGTTGAAGCAGTTAGTAATTCAATTGTATGTGTAGTTACTCCCAAGTCCCAGTTCAAAGTAGACATCGCAAATAATACAAGAAAGCAAGACTCTGCAGCCACTTGGTACTCTATTCTCTATTGTATGCTTTAGATCAAATTAACAGACCCCACATATTTTGACCTAAAATAGAACACCCCAAGCTGCTTGTTTTATGTTCGGGTGAGGTCAATGTTGCAATATTACTTCCTTTCTCATACTTCAAGTACTATGGTCATACAATAATCTAATACTTCCGGATCCTTATTACTTTATTGTGTGTGTGTGCGGGGGTGGGGTGGGGGGGGGGGTGGGGCAGACTCTTTCTAGTCATGGATAAAACATAAAAGATAACAGGGGTAACAATTAGACACCACCAGAAAGCATCACATAGTAAAATATGGATACAGAAACGAAGTAACAGTCATGGTAACAAAATAAGCTTTACCTCTCGATGCCTGTGGTTCTCTTCATCCTCCTCTTGATCATGAGCTCTAGCTAATTGTGTAGCTTCCCTTTTAAACTCCATCTCAAGCTCTTCCAAGGTCTGTTGGTGGGATGGCATGTCAAACTTAAGACTTGATGAATAGGCATCTGCTCCATGCCTCTCAATTCCCCAGTCATTGGGCACGTGTGAAGCAAATTGGTTATTCTGGCCATGTGTTCTAGGAAATTCATCAAGATAAGAGGTATGGCGTGGAGATTTTGATTGGGCTGGACGGCCTTTTGCTCCGAAGTTGGCATGAGCTTCAGCAAAAGGAAGAAGATGCAACATATCGCATTTTAGTTCCAGATAGCTAAAATTGTTTCACACCTAAGTAGACTTTATTGTATAGTGAAAGGAGGAATAATGCCATATGCAATACACAAATTGCAGGCCATCCAACTCATATAGTATGATGTGTTCAAAACACCCTTTCTGACCAATTAATAGGCAGAAACACTTCATATTCGGGCAATATTCAAGATAGTCTTGTCTGAGCGATAATCAAGGAGAAACGCTTCATCACATAAAGCTTGAACTTACCTTGAGCTGCAAAAGGGCCAAACAAGTAATACTCTAGCACGGCAATAACCAACAGAAAAGGGACCAAAGATATTTTCTTTAGCTCAAATTGTCATTTTCTTCTGCCTCCTAATGCTCATACAATAGATGATTATACCTGTGTGCCTGAGTGCCCTACCTTGTGGAGATCCTTTTGAAAACTTGGGCGTATTGTTGTGTAAGCAACCATCTAGATGCCTCTCATTATAGTATCCTTTACTTTGAGAGCGTGATGCATTTCTTGGACTACGGGACCGTTGAGAATCAGAATTTCTTGGGATATGTGAGCGATGAGAATCAGAGTGTCTGGGGCGAAACTCAGTAGTGTTTCGTACAGGCGATCTAGAGCGATCCGGTTTCGGACTGCTTGGACTATGTTTGCCTTTACCCTCTTGAATAATTTTATGCACAGCATCGACACCTTTGGCTAATATTAACCTATCCTTTCCACTGACAAACAGGAACTTCTCATCCATTCTGATTTTACACCCTACATCACTCTCAATCTGGCTTATTATCCTCTCATTGAAAAGATCCCTGACTTGCTTATCTCTTGCTGGAACTCTTTCAAAAAAATCTGCATTTCTCCTATTTGCCCCAAGTGTGGAGGGACAACCCTGTACAGAAAGGAGATGTTAAATGAAGAGCACGCTTTAACATTTTTATGATAACATTTAGCAAGGGAAGATAAACTCAAAAATTAAGTATATACAAAGTTCCATGTACAACAAAGCAGAAAGAGCAACATACACGTTACACACCAAATCAAAAGGGCAAAATACAAAGCAGATAAAAGAAACTACATCTGCAGGAATTACCTGTCAAGTAAACATGGCCTACTTTCTAGCTTTGCTCAAACCATGGAGGGCAAAATGCAAAAGATAAAGATGGCAAAATGTGAAGTACAATTTAGTGCATCAATTCTTATGACTTGCATTGGCATATACTGCTATTAAAAAGGACAAAGCCTTTCTTATCATGAACTGTGACAACAAAACAAACCAGTCTATCAACTAATCCCAGCACTTCTTTGCAGTTGAAGCTTCATATGATGCTGATTTAAAAGAAACATACTGCTTAAATTCACTAGGATCAGTACAGCACTGCTATGAAGTTGCTAACGCTACCAATAATATAACAAACGCCAGGAATCCTTGTATATTCTTTACATGTCTTTATTTTGATATACTTCCATGCAAGTTCTATTTTCGATAGGTAGAAGAGTACCTGAGTAAAATGGCCTGAGTCTCCACATATTTTACAAATCATTTCTTCCTCCTTCCTCTTCTTCCAGTTCCTTTCTGTAGCCTTAGCTTTAGCCTCCCAGACCTTAGCCTCTCGGCTAGTGAAGTCCGTAGGAACAGCATTAGGATCCGGGGCCTCATCTTCATCATCGGACTTATCACCGGTCAGGGGCCTCTTCTCAGCATTTACTTTAGGGGTCACACTATTTGCAGCTGATGCAACTGGGCCGCTGTATGCTTTCCCATAAACTTCATTGAAAAGTTCATCATCCATTTCAGGACTTGGTTCTCTCGCCATTAGCAGAAGAATATATACTCAACCTACAGTAATTGCAAAACACACGAGGGGAAACAGAAATAAATTATTTCCCAAGGAAAATGAAAATATTTTCCAGATACATTGAAGCTAGGAAACCAAAGGACTACACATGCATTAGGGCACCATTGACCATGGGTGTACACATGTTCACCCAACGATTTTTTTATTTTTTGGCAAAAGCTCGAAGTTAGTAGGTATCTTGTGTATACTTAACTTGGTCAGATCCGAATACAAAATACCTTTACATTAGGGTTCGGGGTGCTCGGTTTCGCACAGCAGGAAGGGAAAAGAAGAGGGGCGGGCATACCTGGTGTGCAATCGTCGCTGGCGAAGACCTGGCGAAGGGCGGCGGCGCCCCAGAAAGGCCAAAGAGAGATGGAGAGGGGAGAGGGGCTGAGGGGGAGGAGCAGGAGGAGGAGAGCGCCCCAGAACACACACGCGGGTCGTACCAACAAGGTCAGGGGCAGCGTGAGGTCAGGCGTGCGCTTTGCATCCACCCTCGCCCGCTCGTTGCTCGAAGCCTCGACTCCTGGCAGGCCCAAGCATTCCAACAGAGCCCACAACGGCCTATGCCCCTCTTCTCTTGGGGAAAAAGTCTATTAGTGTCAATGAAATATTGCGCAAAACATCCAATTTAACAAACCCCCAAACCGTCCGATTTTACCTCTGAGCAACTTTTTACCTAACGTGGTGCCACGCCAATATCTTACATGGCACCACATCAGTCACGAGAAAGGTAAATCAGACCTTTTCGATAGTTAGGAGAGGCCAATTAAACTTTAGCAAAAAATAAAAGTATTTTCAGAGAATATATCCAAATTTTTTTATCTGTATTTAAAAATATAAAATCCGATTTGGCCTTAGATAATTTAAATGGACTTAGAGAAATATGAAACTAATTTATTTTATTTTTCAAAAATCATGCTCTATGACTCCGTTCCTTGTAGCTAAACAACGACCGCAAGCCTCCTCAGCAAACAGCGTAGCATATTTTTACTGCCGCTCTTTTATGCGGCCAAACAGCCCTATGTCTTCTTTTAGCTAGGCGTAACATTATTTTATAAAACGCATGAAGATGACATCCCGAGCCAATATAAAATTGTGCTCCTACTCGATCATGTGCTCCCGGCGCGTGATCAGACCTACGACAATGATGACAAATGAGGAAGGGATCATAGCCATCTAGATGTTGCTGGCTAAGTCGAAGATGTCGGTTCAGGAGTTTGAGAAGCTACACGTCGTGTTTGCTGATGCTCCAGTGAGTCTAACAAGTTAATAAAATAAATAGCAACCTCAAATTTTGTCCTTCTCCAATAATCTCATATAATAGCTCCTAAACGACTTTGCATTGGAAAACCCAAACTATTTCTAGTGAACCAAACCTTTTTTTAATAGTGTCTTTGTCTCTTAGCGCTTTCTCATCTGGAATCCTTTATTTTCTTAATTTGCCCATGCGTCCAATTTACTCTGATCTCATGAGAAAAATGCCGGACAGAAAGCGGATATGGAGTTTCTCTTGGAGGGCACTTTTTTCTTTTTGCTAAATAAATCAAAATAGGGAGTTGTTTTACAAAACTTCTAGAGAGATGCTCTAAAGATGCTTTACTATAATTTTTTAAGCCAACATCAAAATCGATATTTTTTTAAACCAACATCAAGATTTAAAGGCGGTACCATATATTTTTGGTGGACACTCGGTGACCCAGCCCTCCTATATATCTAAATCCTGGCTCCGCCTTTGATCTAGGTTTTCTTAGCTTTATTTGTCTCTAAATTCATAAATGCCAGTATAGTAGTTGTTAGATTTTGTATGTAGACAACTAATACCTAGACTATTCGGTGAACTATGGACAGGCATGACATATCAATTTGATTTTTAGATATTTTATGGCCAGAGGAGGTTTGTTATAGTCCTCAAGGGATAGATATATTTATCAGGATTTAAGTATATATGAGGAGATCCCCATGCCAGAGACAGAATCTTTACGTCAATTCACAACTTATTGTTTAAGGTCTTTAAGCTAAATCCTCGGTTGCATGAGATGAAAATAATGGTTGTGACTTCTCAGCATATGGGTATTGTTTTTTTGAGCTCCTTCCACTGCAGAACACCTATGACTGGAGGCAGTATGTACGCATTACAATCGAGTGTGGTTTTCCTACTAGTATGGTTTGTGTAGGTGTTCATGGAGGCGAGCGACAGTAGTGGAATCCATGGTGCTGAGGAAGGTGGAGTACAAACGACCAGGTGGATGAGGATAAGGAGCTTGATGAAGAGGAGGATGAGCACGATGAGGTGGAGGGCCATGAACCCATCGAAGAGGTTGATGAGGACGAATAAATCCCTGCACTAATGTAGCAGATACGGTGTGAGGATAAAGAACCTTCTCTAGCCATGGTAGAAGGTGACTCAATGATTTTGACAATGATGATGTTGATCCAGATCCTCTACCACGAAACTAGGATGGGTATGGATACTCTATTGTAATTGTCAATGGAGGGGAAGTTGTGCCTTGGGAGTACAGTGGAAATGTGGTATGTGTGTCGATGCGCTTTACCCTAGCGGTGATGCAATAAACAAAGTTGTGCAATATTAATTGGTCAGTTTTATCTTTAAATAGGTAGTTCCTGGTGGACAGTTATTCCCCTACTGTTTATGATGTTAAGTGCATGCAACATGCTATGCACACATTCATTGGATTGATTATTATTGGAAGGTGTCTAAAGTCGAGGAGCACGCATGTCAGCTTCATCAATTTTCTAGAAGCACCAGAACCTCAAATGTGCCTTTATTGCAGATTTCATGTATGCTCATATCATGGGCAATCCCAGCTTCGAATTGAAATCCAGAATCGCCGAAGTAGAAGTCATTACAAAATTAACTATAGCAAGGCTTATAGGGATAAGCACAGGGCGTTGGAGGTTAGGTGGGGGTCGTATGAAGCACCATATCACACTCTTTCCATCACTCTTGGGTGTCATATGTTAGAGGAATACTAACAACTACATGGAATGAAACTTAATTATATCGATGCAAATCATCCTAATAAGCAAGTATTTCAGCAAGCATTTTTTTTTCTTCTCTTGGGGCTTGTAAGCGGGCTTTCCAACACTACCTATCATATGCATCGACGACACAATTCTGACTAGGAGTGTCAATGAGAGAGAGAGAGAGAGAGAGAGAGAGAGAGAGAGAGAGAGAGAGAGAGAGAGAGAGAGGAAGAGGGAGAGAGGGAGTCCCCTCACCTTATTCATTTCATTGTGGCCCCAATAGACCCTTGAGATATACAAGGAGTTTTATAAAATTATTTAAATCGGTTTATATTATATTGTAGACTTAGGGTCTGTTTGGTTCAGCTATAAGTTGTGAGCTATGGAAAACTTGTTGTGATCTATGTGTTGTGCAAAACATGTAAACTGTTTAGTTGAAATAACTATGAAATCTACCTCTATCTCTAAGCAGCTTTGAAACATATCTTTGCTTCCACCTATTTTAAAAAAGCACGATCCAAAGTGCCATGAGTGTAACGGAACCGATCAATTATACGAAATTAAGTAAGAAAATCATCCGCCAGAGCAGACGACTTAGCAAACTTAAGCCCGTATAACCCGGTAGTCCATGAAATCACAAAGGATTTCAAACCAACTCACATACCAGCCAAGATCGTAATAAGTTTAGCGGTCACCATCACATATTACATAAAAGTTTGCATCACCGGTACATCAGAGTTTAAACATAGTTATTACAAAACAAGTTCAAATAGAAGTAGCGGAAGCCATTTGTTCAAAACCACACACACTCACACGGAGTTCCAATACAGTGCCAGCTAATAATCATCTCCAACAAAAGCATTAGACGAGACGTAAGGAATGACCATGCCCATGGTCCTAAGCATCACCCATCGCAGGATAAAGGCAGTTGATACAGTAGCCGTAATACATCTGCCCATCTGCAACAAGTGGGAATAAAACCCTGAGTACGAGAAGGTACTCAGCTAGACTTACCCGACATAACCGAAAATAAAGTGACACCAAGGATTATGAAGGGCTTTATAGTAGGGTAGCTGGCTTATTTGCAAAAAGAGGCATTTTTAGTATTTCAAGAACCTTTCCGAAAGCATTATTGTCAAGTTACTTATTATTAACCTATCGACTACATTTGCACCTATAATAGAGCAAGCATGTGATTAAGTAAATAATGATAACCAATGATCATTAACAACTTCCATAATGTCATATTCATTATAACTGTCCAAATGTTTCATCAACATTACTACGATGAAGTCACTCAAGTCAAGTGCTCACTATCCAGGAGCGATGGCGATTCGAATCGATTCCTAACCAGCTGGTGATTTATTCCTTACACAAACCTCACTCACCCACTAAAGTGAGGTATCGGTCACCGAGTCAACTATCCAGGAAAAACTCGAGTTTGCCAGGAACCACATGTACCCGGGGGCCGACCGACTACCTTTCGGTCTTATCATCGCGCCCCCGTGTCCTACCACACCTGCTCCGGTACAGTGCGCTGCGGGCAATCTACTTGGCCCAAATAATCTCCCAGCTTCGCGGTCGAAAGGTACTTTATTCGGCCAGCTAAATGTAAGGCATGCGTTCAACATGACTCGAGGCCCAACAACGGTCGGTCCTTAATCGACACAGATGGAAAGCACTACAGTCCAAAACTCTATAAGTCTCCGTCCGGTCTCAACTTCAATTAACACTTAGTATACCATGACTACATAGTTATCCAAGCAGATCCAGGTAACCACCTATAGCTCGCAGGTGACAGGAAATCACTCGACTTCTACCGATCTAAGCCAGCTAAGCATTGACTCGACTGCGGATACCAGGGTAACAAGGATATAGTATAGCAAAGGTAGACAAGGTATAATGCAGCAACGGTTGCAAACAACTCCTAAACGTAATGCATCAATTAAAGTAAAGCATTTAATTAATAATTGCAAACCGGGGAGAAAAATGCTCCGGGGCTTGCCTCTCTCAAAGGAGCCCGGGCGGTGATCGGGGCACTCCGGAAGTTCCTCAACGTCCTCCTCGTTTGCTTCGGTCACTTCCTGCGGCTGCACCTCGAGCTGCTTCTCGGGCTCCTCGACTATGATGACTGGGCTCTCGGTTTGCGATCCTGTATGATGCAGGTGCGTAAGTGCTTATGCAAAAGGTGCATCGGATGAAATGAACACAATGAATATGCTTGAATGCAAGGTAGTCAACATCATCCAAGAACATGTACTACAAACACATGTCATCTACTGCATTCTCTTCTACTACTAATATTCTAAGTCAACACATCTCATTAAATGCTTCAAAGATACACCAAAGCTTCACTAATTTCTTAATCATACATAAAGCAACATTTGATTAAACCCTAATTAATAATAGGTTTGAATAGCAACACCTATTTTTATAGCTTAGAAAAATCTTAGAAAATTACCATAACACAGTACTACCCTAAGTAGTCTACCATTAAATTTTTATGGCATTTGGATAAGTGGATTAGCCTACACAAAAATGACAAGTTATGGCATAATTATGATCATGAAAATACTTTGTACTGTGAAAAGTGTCAAACAATAGATGTAATATTTTTCCTATGTTCTACACAGTAAATAATCACTGCACAAAAATTATCACATGCAGGTTTTATACAAATTTTGCTCTCTAGCAAAAATAACAAAAACCAGCCATTAAAGGCACTTGAACTACATCTCATAATTTTTCTACAGGACATGCATGGCATATATTTTTCCTAGAAAGTAAATTACACCAGAAGAGTAACAAACTTGAAATCATATTTTTCTGATCTTTCTATGATTTATTATGCCTTTCTCAAGAAAACAGCAATTTCAAAGATTAACTAAAGCCCTATATAAATGTATCCCAAAACTGACATGCAACATTTTTATATTGTAGATCTAAGAATAAGAAGCATACAGAAATTTGTTTCACCAAAATTGGGGCACCACAGCAGCAACTATGTATTTTAGAATCCTTCAAAAGCATTTTCTAGAAATCTTTTTCCTTTAAAACGAAAATCCATGTTCAAAACTGCTAGATCCACCCGGATCTCCACCCAAAAACCGCTCCAGAGAGACAGACAGGCGGGACCTAGCGGGTCAACCGGCCCCGCTGGTCAGTCACCCGGAGATAGGGGACGGCTTTGACCGGCCGGATCTCACCGGCGGTGAGGTCGCCGGCGGCGTGGTCGGCACCGTCGGACTCCACAAAACGATGCGCACACGCTGGTAGTACTTGCAAAGCCAGAGGACCACCGGAGCAAGGTGGCCGGTGGCCATGGAGTGTGGCGCGGGCTCGTTCCAACGCACGGGTGGCCGGAGCAACGACATCGACACGCAACCGAGCTTCGCCATTGCGAGGCGGGCACGGTGCGCGCGAAAGGAGGAAGAGAGGGAGGCGGAGCAGGTCTAGCCACGGCGGCGTGCGCTGCGGCCGAGCTCCGGTGAGGGGGAAAACGCGCGATTGGGCCTCACCTCCGGTCGATTCGCGTGGCCAGCTGGTCGGCAGCGTGGTGCGTGAGGTGGCGGTGCTTGTGGTGCGAGGAGGCGGCGAGTGGTGCAATGGCTGCGGCGGAACGCTGCGGTGAATGGCGCGGCGGCGCTGAGCTACGCTGCTGCCGCTGCCTGCTGCTGCTGCGAGGGGGAGAGAGCGAACGAGAGAGCGAAGTGGGGAGCACAGCGAGGTCAGCATATGAAGGCGAGCGCGTGGAGGGCGAGGCAGGCCGGCTGCGACGCGCGGCGAGCTTCGCCGGCGCATGGCGGCCACGCGGCGAGCGCGCTCTGACGCGGTCGGGAGCGTGCGCGGTGGATAGGCGCGGCGCGCGGGAGCAGGGGCACGACGCGGAGGCAGGCCGGGCCGGCCTGTGCGGCTGGGCCGAAAGCGAGGCGGCGGCCCATTAAGGAAAAATAAGATTTTTCAAACTATTTTCAAATCCTTTTTCATTCAAACGAAATTTTAAACTATTTCAAAGCAGTTTCAAAAGTTGGTGTAAAAATAAAAGTTGTTCCATTTTTCAAGGTCTACAACTTTGCTTTTATGACCAAAGTCAAATTCCAAGTAGATTTTGAATTACCAAATTAAACTCAATATTAATTCAAAACCCTAATCTTGAATAATTATTTTTAAAAGCAAAATTTGGCAAAAATTCAAATATAAACTTTGCTCCAAATTGTATCCTAAATATTTATAAGCTATCCTAGTGATCAAAACAAGACTTCATGGCATCCAAACATGAGCATGGCATTTCACATTGTTTTAAACATAATGAATTTCAATCAACTTAAGCACCCTTCATTTCTTTCGAAATGAAATGCATGCATGATGCTTATGCATGAGGTGATGATGATTATGCTCATGGGATGAAATGGTAATGCACGCTTAACACCGAGGTGTTACAATGAGACTGCACTATGTGAAAGCAGTTGCTTCTAGAAAAACATATTCAAACCCCACCTGTTTGGTTGATGGTCTGTATCTATTATGTTGTGATCTTTCCTTTGGCACCTTGGCAATCATATTTCCATAGGGCGCTCAACACCACGCCATTTCTTCTTTTACATAATTGCTGGCAGCACAGAGCAATGAAGATGCCAAAGTATTTCGATGGTAATTGCCGGGGTGACATTGTGTATCACAGCTGATTGAGGCAATGGAGGTGTAGACCTTTTCATGAACGGCTAACTTTAGCTTCAAAATTTTAAAGGTCTTGGCTACATACATTGTATTATCTACCAAAAAACAAAACATTTACTACTAAATTAGCATAACCAATACGGAGCAGATGTGAATTTTCTAATCAAGCACTATGAGCGCGCATGCAAAGCATCTTTCCGGCACTAATAACTGGATCGAAGTTCCTCGAGGGTATCTCTACTATATAGCACTAACCGCCGCCGGCGTGTTACCGGCCAGTTGGGCACACGAGCTGCGAGAACGCCGCGCTGTTAGCCACCTCGTCGTCGGTCTCCTCCATGATCACGCACGCCTCGTGCGCCCGTGACGTGGACGACGTCCCCAGCGTCGTGACACTTGCCATGCTCCCGTTGCTGTTGCTCGGCTCGAGCGCCGGGCGCCCCGTGCCGCTGCCGCTGCCGTCACCCACGGTCCGCCGCCCGCAGCTGCCTCCTTCGAAGGTGTCCTGCAGCTGCAGCGCGAACTCGAGGTTCCACAGGACGTCCCCCATGGACGGCCGGTCGATGCTCTGCTCGGCGAGGCACTTCTCGGCCGTGTCCGCGACCTTCTTGAAACACTCCGGCGCGATCTGGTCCTTGATGGATGGGTCGACAACGTCCGGCAGGGTGCCGTTCCGCTGGCAGCTGAGCGCGTAGTCAGCGAGGCTGACCTGCTCCCGTGGCAGCGCCGGGTCGAGAGCTGGCCGCGCAAGGAGCACCTCGAAGAGAACGACGCCGAAGGAGTAGACGTCGGACTTGTCCGTGAGCTGCTGCCGCCGGAAGTACTCCGGGTCGAGGTACCCGAAGCTGCCCTTGACCATGGTGCTCACGTGTGTCTGGTTCATCGTCGTCGGGCCGGACTTGGAGAGGCCGAAGTCGGAGACCTTGGCGACCCAGTCCCCGTCGACGAGGATGTTGGTGGTCTTGACGTCGCGGTGGATGATGGTGTACTTGGCACCCGTGTGGAGGTAGTGCAAGCCCCGCGCGGCGCCGATGCAGATGTCGAGGCGGTGCCGCCACGACAGCGGCGGCTTGCCGCCCATGTAGAGGTGCTCCCGCAGCGTGCCGTGCTCCATGTAGTCATACACGAGGATCATCTCGCCGGCATCCTCGCAGAAGCCGATGAGGGAGACGAGGTGCCGGTGCCGCAGCTTGGACAGCATCTCCACCTCCGTCTGGAACTCGTGCACGCCCTGCTCCGACGACGGGTTGGACCGCTTGATGGCCACCTTGGTGTCGCCATCCACGACGCCCCGGTACACTTTGCCGAACCCGCCCACGCCGATCACCAGCGACTCGCTGAAGTTCTTGGTGGCCACCTTGATGTCGGCGAACGAGAAGTGCCGGCACATGCCCGCAAGGTTCGCCGGGAGGTGGCCCGACGACTTGTTGCTGGTGTGGGAGTGGTACAGCGGCAGCCACCCGGAGGTGTGCGACCCGCCGGCGCTGGCTGCGTCCCTCTTCTTCTTTTCATGGTACCACACGACGCAGATCGCAGCGACGATCCCGAGCGCGGCCGCGCCGCCTGCCGTGCCGCCCATCACCTTCGCCATGTGGGGATGCGGCTTAGACTTGGGCACCTCGTGCTCTCCAGCGCCCAGCTCCGCCTTGGCGAGCAACCTGGACGGCTCGGGGTCTGGCGCGGCGAGGTTGCCGGCGGTGTCGTTGAGCTTGAAGATCTCGAGGCCGTTGAGGATGGCGTCGTAGAACTGCGGCCGGAGCGCCACGGACGGGTGCAGCGCCACCCACATGGCCTGGCCATCAGGCTCTTCGGACACGTACACCGCGTAGTCCTTGTACATGGGCACGCCCTTCTCCGACGTCATCCCGATCACGTCGGCGTCGGACTGCGCCGTCTTGTTGTTGACATAGATGTCGAACGCCCGCTGGTTGGCCCGGCTGAGCAGCAGCTCGCAGAAGTGGAGGCGCGCGACGTAGGTGAAGTTGGCGTCCACCGGCATGGTCCAGGTGAGGTTGTAGTTCTGGTTCAGGCGCGGGTCGGAGCCCATGGAGCGGGTGCCCAGGTACACCTCCGGCGGCGCGGCGTACTCGGCGATCTCGCTGGGGTACCTGATCTGGAAATGCGGGCCGGCCCTGTAGGTGACGCCGGACGTGGCGCCGTACACGTACGGCGTGTCGTCGTACCAGTGCCGGGTCAGGCCGGAGTCGTTGGAGGGCGGGATGTACGAGCCGCCGACGTTGAACCGGTACATGGTCTGGAGCGTGGAGCTGGCGATGTCCACGGTCTGGTCCGCGAAGCCGACCATGATCGCCGGGTCGACGAAGATGTCGGGCATGGAGGCCACCTCGATGCCGTTGACGAAGGCGTAGGTCTCGTTGCCCATCGGCGTCGGCGTGAAGGTGAGGGTAAGGAACCCCGCGGGCGTAGGCGGGAGGGAGAACTCCCGGATGATGTACGCCTGGCTCAGCGCCTTTGTGTAGGTGTAGACGCTGAAGTTGCGGAGCAGCGTGATGCCGGTGGACGTGGACACGGAGAAGTGGAAGCCGGCGGCGGCGATCCCGTTGTAGGAGGACGGGTAGAAGTGAAGGCGCACCCAGTGCCGGTCCCGCGGGTTCACGGAGAAGTTGTACACGGCCTCCATGGTGAACACCCGCGCCGTCATGTAGGGGATGGTGGACGGCAGCCCATTGTCCACCTTGTCGGCCGCCATCAACAGGGACGACTTGCCGGAGTCGGTCAGCCACGTGTTGTCGTTCGTGTCAGCCACCCACTTCCGGCCGTCCGCGTCCAGGCCGTCCGTCGTCGACCCACAGTTGAGCAACACCCTATCCGTGGGAGCGTACACCTTGGACTCTGCGGTGGCAGCAACGCCGGCGACGAGTAGCAGCACCAGCAATGGGCGCCGAGCTCTGCCAGCCATGCGCCGAGAAATTGGGAGGGAGCTAGGCAGTACGGCGGCCAATGGAGACGGAAGAGAAGATGCATGGGTGACGACTAGGACATAGCGATTGGTGAAAGGGAAGAGAGAGAAGTGTCTGGGAGGCGAGAGTGAGGGTGTTTGACCGCGGGAGAACAGGGTTGAAACACGCGTGTACGGCAGGCCTCAGAGCGTACTCCGGGAAACCAAGGCAGTAGGGGCGTACAATGCAGCTGAGAAACCCTACAAACATGTCCACCCACACAGCGCGCGTTTGGCTGCATGGGGCTCTCCCAGCCTAGGATTGTCTGTCTGCGCAATTCAGGAGCTATGAACTGAGGACAGCAGCAACTTCGAACAAAATCATTTCTTCCATACAAAGAACGTCCTTGAGGGTTGTAACAATCTAGTAGTCTTTTGAGACGGCGCAGAAAAATGGAATTTACAGGTGCCTCTTTCTTCCCAATGGCTGGCCAGGCCAATTGCACCACCAGCCTTTGAATGCGTGACTACATGGCTACAGGCTCTAAGCAACAGCTCGGCAAAGGCTACCACCCCCATCAGTCATCGACCTTCATGGAGATCTTCCGAGAAAACAGCGGTTCTTGGAATGGTCTCGGTCTCAAAGGGGCTGAGGCCTGAGAAGGGGCCCGAAGAGAACATGGACGAGGTACCATCTGATTCATAGGTCGTCGAGGATTGCCGGATGTTGGGACGAGCAGGCGGTGTTGGCATAGATTCCTGGAACTCCACAGAGCGTTGCACCATCTTGAGTGACTGCACCACCTCACCCATTGTTGGTCTTTGGTTTGCCTCTGGTGAAACACAGGCTGCTGCAATTGTTCACACCCGCACAAAATCATCTTTCGGGTACTGGCCGCCAAGCCTGGGGTCAGCTAGTTCTTCTAATCTATCCTGATCTCGGAGAATTGGCCGTGCCTGCAGTCAACCGAGTGACAGAATGTCTTCAGCGTGACATCACCTCTTTACGCACCATGCAGTGACAAATAATTTGAGATTTAAATTCCAGTTGTCAGCTGCCTACTCATATACATAAAAACAACCTATGCACACACAATCCGCTGACTGTCTGATAGTCATCACGTTAAAAATATTCTAATTCAGCTGTAAAATCACACAAGAACTGAAGATAGTATATAAAAGAAAGAAGTATTACCCATGTCACTAGGTTTTCCTACCCAGAGGGCTGTGACATATCCACAGGCCTCCTCCCAGTTAGTAGTTCAAGTAGAACAACTCCATAGCTATATACATCACTTTTTACACGCAAGTGTCCCGTCATAGCATACTCTGGTGCAACATACCTGCAAACAGGCCAGAAGCATTAAGGTAAATTCAGAGAAGAAATAGCTGGTCATGGCTAAAGGTAAAAGGATATTCAGATTACCCGAAAGTTCCCATAACACGAGTAGAAAGATAATTCGTCTGACCTTCCGGCACCTGTTTTGCCAAACCAAAATCGGACATTTTAGCATGGAAATCATTCTCAAGCAATACATTGGATGCTTTGAAATCCCTGTGGATTACATTACGCAAGGCTGCGCATCCTCATGGAGGTATGCGAATCCCCTGGCAGCATCAAGTGCTATCCTCATCCTGGTGTCCCAGTCCAAGGGGCAACTAGCACCTAGTGCACCTGAGAAAATGCAGTACATGCTCAGAATTATGTTTCTTATGTCTGTAAGTTGCATGGTGCAAAACAAACAGAAATAATAGGTTCAGGTGCAACTAAAATGGGGCCCGTGCAGAGAGGATTTGGGAAGAGAATAATATGCGATAAATCATACCATGAAGCCAAGCCTCTAGGGCTTCCATTGGGAACAAGCTCATAACAAAGAAGGTTCTGTGATGACTCACGGCTGCTATAGTAACCAATCAGTTTCACAAGATTCCGGTGGTGCAACCTGCTCAGCATTTCCACTTCAACTAAAAACTCCTTATGTCCTTGGTGCCCTCCACTAGAGTAAGCTTCTTTATAGCGACAGCAGTGCCATCACTCAGTACCCCCTTGAAGACACGACCAAAACCACCTTCTCCAAGCACACTTGAAGGCTCAAAGTTATTTGTTGCCACTTTCAGTTCTTCATACGAAAGGAACCTTGTGCTGGTGGGGCGAGGAAGGGACTCCACTGCAGAAACTGCATCTGGCGTCCTTTGCTTGGCTGTATAAAGAATTATGAGGTCAAACATGTTATAAAAGTGTTTTAAAAAATACCAGGAAAGAAGCTAAACAACTGGTTTTTGTTTCAGGTTGACTATAAACTTGGGTTGCGTTGGATTTGCGGTCATACAAGAAGGGATCGAGTTCGGAACGATGATATACGTGATAGATTAGGGGTAGCACCAATTGAAAAAAAGCTTGTCCAACACCGGTTGAGATGGTTTGGACATGTCCAACGGAGACCTCCAGAGGCACCGGTGCGTAGTGGAATCCTAAGCCAGGATAGTAACGTGAAGAGAGGCAGAGGAAGACCGAAGTTGACTTGGGTGAAGGCAATAAAAGGAGACTTGAAAGGATGGAATATACCCAAAGACTTAGCCTTGGATAGGAGTGCTTGGAAAACAGCTGTTCACGTGCTTGAACCTTGATTGCTTCTGTTGGGTTTCAACTCTAGCCTACCCTAACTTGTTTGGGACTTAAAGGCTTTGATCTCCACTAATGTCTGTGCTAGGGTGAAGAGGCTGGGATCTTGAATAGCCCACTATCAGAAAATGCTCATGACATTGCTTTTAATCTTTGAAGGACTACAGTCAGAAATGCATTATTATATTTCAAAAGGTTGTAAAGTGTATTCAAGATGCACTTCTCTTATCATGACAATCATATGAATGCTTAGTGCAAATTCTTTAATTTACTGGATCACATCAATAAAGTATAGCACACATTACAAAAACCTATGAATGCCTTAGTGCAAAGTATAATCACAGTTTACCTGATGTTATATGGTTTGGAGTTTGGACAGTTATATGTGCTTTAATGAGAATAGGAGTTACATAGTTTACAATAGTCATTTATCTTGTAAGGACTTGTCAAACATTTTGCAAATGTTGCATTTAACATGTTTTTCTTTAAAAATGGCATCATCCAATCACCATCACATAATGAACACAACAAGTGTGTATTGTTCCAAAAAAATAGCACATATATAGCAGATAGTAGGACACATACGGGTTTCAACACGAGGCACTCTCTTTTTCCCTTTCCTAATTGTGCAGAAGCATATTATTAAAACAATCAGCAAGACTCCAATTAGAGAACCAACGCATATGATAATCACAGTAATCAGGCTTGGATGTCCATTGTTGCTGGGACGCTCACTCGGTCTTGGCAAGTTCGATACTGTAGATGGAGAGGCCCTAGGCGCTATTGTGAATGCTGGAGCTGCCAATGATACAGATAGCAATATTAAGAACAGTGACATTTAAAAAAAATCAAGATAACATGACACATAAAAGAAAGGCCACTTATATTTATTTATGAGATGGTTTCATCAAACTACGGCCACCTGCATGGCTGCATCTAACTATCAAGGAACTACAGCTTCTGATATCAATTTCACAAGCGTAAAAGTATTTGCGCCATTAGTTTCACAAACCTGCAACAATTTGCATGGACCCACACGTCAACCACACAAAGTCCACATGTCACCAGGCCCACCCATAACACTGATGGGCTGGTGGCTGACATGTGGGCCCATATAAAAATTTGTAGGCCTGTGAAAGTGGTGGTGCAAGCAGTTATAGTTCTAAGAAATTGATGCCAGAGATTGGCATTCCTAACTTTGACCCTCACGCTTTTTATAATATGCAAGAATCATCAATCCATCATGTCTTCGAGCTTCAATTTTGTATCATAACATCAAGGCAGCACATCCAATGTTCATCGAAGAAAGCTGACATACTGTGATAAAATTTAAATTGAATATGCATACCTCTAAACTTTTTGATTGGGAAACAAAAGAAAAACTTTCCCTACAACGTACACCAGGGTCATGAATACTCTAAAGTTTAAAGGCATTAAGAAATATATCGAAGCAAATTCGCTAAATTATTAAGATGCAACTTACATGTGGAAGGGGGTAATATGTAGTTATAAGCAGGAAAAAGGCAAACTAAGAACAGAAGTAGAAAATATAATTTTAGAAAGAAAGAAGAGAATAATGAATATCATTGTTACACACTGTTCCAATGTTTTTGAGGCGCCACGCCCGTTTTTGAGGCGCCGACCCCCTTCACAACGTCTAGGCGTTTGTGGCGGACGCCTAGGCGACGCCATACACACATTGTAAGGCGTTGTAAGCTAGAATTTTATATACTAGTGGAGCACATAGATACCTCGTTTGTTGCCAATTCTTGAGCCCACGTTCCTTTCTTTCCTTTCCAAAAGCTCTTCTCCCGCACTAGTGCAGTTTGTGAAGCAGGCAACATCAGACAAGCGAGCACATACATATACTAGTGCAGCAAATTTTGAGCAGCAGAGAGAGAGCACCTAGTGATTGTTTATCATGCTCCTTGTCTCCTATGGGTTAAATTTAGATTTGGAAAAGGGCATACATGTTGACGTAAAGACAAGCAGAGCAGACGGAAGACAAGCGAAGAAAGCAAAGCAGAGTTGCTCTGGAGGCGCCCAGTCGGGAGGCGCAGCCAAGCGCAGAGAGCGAAGAGAGCAGAAGCGAGAGCAGAGAGCAGAGAGCGAGACCTATGTGAGCAGAAAATATGTGCCATACCAAAGCGCACCGCCAAGGAAAAGGGCCCTAAATGTGGAGGGCGAGATCATGATGATGCAGGCCCGCTTCACCTTGGATATATGGTCACGTGGGTTTAAAGGCCCGGCGAGCTCCACGGCAGGGGTGCTAACAGTTAACAAAGCGGCTTTAAAGACGTTTAAGATTTGAGCCTTATGCTTATATAAGCCGTACTTAAGCATAACTTAATAATAGATGAGGATAAAATCTTGAACGGCTTATCTTGTTGAGTAATGCCGTTTTGTTTAATTTTCAATATTTGATAAAAATCCCGGATGGGTAAGAGATGACAACGGATATAAGGAGTTTCGCGCCACGGAGGTCAACCAAACATCCGTCGCCTGATGGAGTTCTCTCCCTATCCTTTTATCTTCACTGTTTATGTAAGTCAATGTGATGTCTTTGTTATTGAATACACCGTGATGATACTTTTATAATTCCCAACGAAGCTAAGGCGCACACATGAGTTTAGTGCATTCAATTTTTCTTAAATTGGGTGTGACACCTTTCTGGCGCCTTCCTTTGACCGGCGACCGCATCCGCCCAGATTTCCCCGTGAAGAAGCTGTAGGCGCCTGGCGCGATTGTAGGCGCCCGCCTGGCGCCCTTCATTTGCGCCGGCGACGCCGCCCTACCCCTTGAGGCGACGCATACACGCCCGAGGCGACGCCATAACCTGATGAGTCGTGGCGACGCCCGGACGCCTGAGGCCTCGACCACGCCTTGACGCCTGTGCCTCGACCACGCCTTGTCGCCTAGGCGACGACTAGGCGACGCCTCAAAAACATTGCACTGTTCTGCCTTAATTACCATTTTTAACTCTTCATATGAAAGGGTTTGGTAGGACAAGGGGATCAGTATGTGGCGTGTTTGGTGTCCCAGATGCCGCCAGCCTTGCATGCCGTCGTACACATACAGGGTGTTTGGTTTCCTGGAACTCGAGCTCAGCTTGGTTGCGCGCGTGCAAAAGGACGCTCGGAGCCTGGCTCCCGAGGCACGCAGCTGAGGTCAGTTCCTGCGCAACCTGGCTGGCGCAAGACAGTAGCATGCATGCGCATGTGTGTTTGGGTCATGGTTTGCTTCTAGTCCAGCTAACCAAACTCCCTACCCAACCTAGTCACATACATGCAGTGAACCAAACAACAAGCACCTGAATGCACTTGACCTGTCCCAATCTAGCCTGGCTAGTGGATGCGACCCAGGCTCTCCAGAGAAGTGAACCAATCACGCCCATGGTGGATTGATGGCTAATACCAAATGGTGTCTCTTCCTTTCTTTTTTTGGACTTTTGAACCAATTTGATATATGAAAATTGAAAGGTCCAAATTTCCATAATATGGTTGTGGGCCACACTACAAATACACCTCACAATATCATGCACTGCAGAAATTCTTCAATCTCACATTAAGTAAACAATAAGAACAAAAACAAAGGGGCTTTTCTCTTCCTGGATAGTAACAAAACTACCCTCATTGTGACAAACAGAAGAAGTACAAGATCGAAAGCTATTACCTGGGGCTGGAGCCAATGGCCTGAACCAAGTTAAATTAAGAACATTATAGTCCCCGACCAACACAGGATCAATCCGAACTGTATGCAGAGTAAGTGAATAATTCATTGCCTTGACTTGATCAGCAGCAAAGCTAATTCCAGTAAGGGGAGCTATATCCATTGTGATATTTAGCCCAGAAGCTCCAACGACATAAAAATTTACAATCTCAAATTGATTAACACGCAGGTTGAGCTGAGAAGCAAGTTCTTGAAGAAATTCGTTGCTCCAGTTTGAAGTCAAGGAAACATTACGAAGGAAGAGCTCAATTCTCACTGGATAAACACAATGGCAATCCCGGGTCCCTCATTTTTGTACCATGTTCGGTGCACAACAACCTAGCAAACAAACATAAATCACAGTATGGTTAACATCATATCTACAACATAGAAAAGATAATATTGGAGTAAATGATATCCGTCGCATAAAAAAATGGAACAAACAGATCAGAATGAAATGTACAAATGATGCTCTTCTAGAATAGACAAATGACCAACCTCTCAACAGGATTATGTAATTTTAAGCTGTGTGAGAGTTCATTTACGATTAAAATATTTCAAGGCTCTGGCAAATAGACTTACCATTGTGAGGAGATACTGGAGGCTGCACTAATCCAGAAGGAGCTGCGCTAGAATTTGAAGCTGCATCCGGAGAGTCAGCATCTACATGAGCAGGAGCAGCTGTTGCTAAGCGTCTGGTATGCTGCACTGGAGTATGTGATAGATCTGAGGAATAAATGGCCAGATCTAAAGCACCGGGCATGGAACTATAGCTAGGCGCTGAAATAGGAGGATGTGCAGATGACATGGCAACTGCTGATGAATATAGCTTCTTTTGTCTTTGGTGGCCATCCGCTGGTTGTGCAGAAACACTTACAAGGACTTCAGCTTGGGATGCCAAAGAATGAAATGGTCTCCAACCTTGGAATGGAGGCATGGCAGGGGCGACTATTTCTGGAGCTGATGTTTGAATAATCAAATTGATCCCACTGAGAAATTCCAGGATCAATACAGCAGCCAAGACATTGAACGTAAAATTTCTCAATGTATCTTCAGGAATTCCTGAAAAAAAGTTGTACACCATCCAGTCAGAATATTTTTTAAGCGAATACATACATAGTGTGGAATGGGTATAAAGCACAGACAACAGATACTGGAGGCCCATGGCTCATTGGCTCCCTAAAAGCAACATACAAATATTATGGAGTCCTTCTAAGGTGGTACGAAAAAAGGTCATATCTTCCCTTTACATATGCCCTAAATGATGCAATTGTAGGTAGAGACAGAAATGCCCATATGCACATAAATAATTATTAAATATACACTTGGGTTCCATCTAAATTACAAAAAACTTCCACTCCCTTGTGCCAAACATTATTAACTGACACATTAGTATTCAATCTTCTCAATCATTTAAATCTATTTTTATGACACATGTTCAGAAAATTAGATCTTCTTTGTCAAGGTTTGGCATTATTAATTTAAACAGGACAGCTATGCCATTTTATGATTCATTATCCAAGGGATTATTTCACCTCATTCAGATTTGTCCACTCTCGCACCCATCAATTTTAACATGAGTCCAATTAAACAGTGTATTTAAATAAAATATAAGCATCAGAGTCATACAACAAAGATTAATTTTTTTTCCTGCAAACAAGGAGGCCACAAAGATTATGAATATGAAACTGCCTATTATCTGCTCCAGTGTCCATTACATCCTTACTGTTACGCACAAGCCGCTCAATCTCTACCATATTATCCACGGCAGCTGGCGCCTGGCAGACCTTTTTTCTTGTAAACTATTTTTATAAGTCCCGATCCGGTGGTGGAGTGGTGGTGGCTTTGAACGAAAAATCTGCGAACGATGATGTTTCGAGTCCTATTTTTTAAATCGCCCGGCTTTGATTTGCCTTTTCCGCCTGCGCTGCTGCTTTTCCTCCTGCGACTTTTCTCTCTCCCCTCGCCGCTGCAGCTGCAGACCTGGGGGCTGATTCCCCCCCCTTTTTTTTGAAAGATTTTCTTTCACAAATATGTGTCTGGTGGTATGCTTTCAAAATCCAGACCCTCACCTCGGCGCTAGAGCAATTGGCCCCGAGCTTACACATCTCGGCGCCGACGTAATTGGCGCCTACGGATACATGGCAGGGTGCTTGGCGCCACAGATCTTGACGCCGAGCTCGGCGCTGCAAGCGCCCAGATCTGTGGCGCCAAGCACAACGCCAAGATCTGTGGCGCTGTGGCCGGTTGACATATGGGCCCAATTTTCTTTCTTTCCTTCTCTCTTTCCCTTTCTCATTTCTTTCTTCCCGACCGCTAGCCGCAATGCCGCGCCCGCCCGCCCGCCTGCCACCGTCGAGGCGCCTCCTCCCCTCCTGACAGTGCCACCCCACCCGCCCGCCCACCCGCCCCGCCCCGCGCCCGCTGGCCTGTGCCACCCCGGCCGTCCGGCCCGTCCGCCTCCTCTCTGCCCGCATACAGGCCGGCAACGCCCTTCCTCGTGGCCTTGAGGCCGGGCTGGGGCGTGGGGTGCCGAGGCCGGGGGCGGCCTGCCGCCACACCGGTGCCAGCGAGTCCACTACACCAGCTGCTTCTCCTCTCCACTCGAGCAAGGTATAATTAGTTGGATAATTTTGTTAGTAGTTATCAATAGTTAGTTCAATGGTGTGTTAGTTCTTGATTTAGATAGGTAGATACATATTTAGATAGGTAGATAGATGGATAATTATTGTGATTGTTAAGTTAGGTAGTTAGTTAAATACCTTGTGTAGTTAGATATTTATGTAGTTAGATACATAGATACTTAGTTGCATAGGTAGTTTGTAGCATTTAGTAATAATCGTTAGTTACTTGATAGTATGTATTTAGTTAATTATTTACCCACTAGAGATCTTCTATTATTCATCTTGCATATATTTTGGACTAAAGGAAATGTGCTTCGTTATGTGTATGAATTAGATGGACAACCTAGTGAGCATATATCATGGAGGCACCGTGGAAAGAGATCGCTTTGGATATGTTGAGTTTGTTGACATGCAAAGCATGCCTAAAATGAGAAGCATTCATTTAGTGAGTTGGTTGAAGGGCTCGGGAGGAGCTACATTACCATGATGATGATGACATCGCAGTTGAGGTGTACCTTACCTAGGTTCCCCTCCCAACATCCTTAGGAAGATGATCCCAATTTGGTGTGCAGATCAGTGGGAGAACTATGTGAGATCAGCTATGAAGAGCTAGTTCCAAAGTTTGGACGTGGTTGTGCGTCGGGTGTTAGTTGATCCCATTCCTCATGGGTTTTACCCGTCAATGGGTCAGCAGGCACACTTTGACCCTCCCATCCCGGAACCTGATATGGATGTGGAGGTTGCACCTATGGTTCTCGATGCTCAATCTGCCTCCAATGAGCTAGTTGGAGATACTTGTCAGACTCATGATGTTGTGGTAGATCCTCCTCATGAGATCCCTTTGATACAAAATCATCCGAATAAGTGTTTTATCCGCATTGTTATTGGGAACTTACCCTCTTCCTTACATCCATTTTCTCATTGTTTCCTCGTATTTCTACTTATGTTGCAGGAGACATTCCTGACAATATGGATGTGCCCCCTGTTGCTGCGCAAGTGCACTATGGAGATGGATTCCGTGGCTCTAATAGTATTGAAATTATGAATGATTTGGAGTCATGAGATGGCAAGGGCTCTTGATTCTGATGATGATTGTCCTATTGGAGAGCTGACAGAGAGTGACGTTGAGATGCTGAGGCGTATCTTTCCTAGCCGCTATGATCCAAGAGTTCACGAGTTCTGCGATCTTACTCATTCCGATCAGGCGTGTGCAGAAGGACATGATGATGAGCTGCTATAAGCTCCTGAGGCCGGCCCTAATATGGTATTTGAGAAGGGGTGGTTGTAGGCGTTTGCAGTGATACGAAAGAGACCTTATAAGGTCTTACATTCATATGCGGAGCGCCGTTATACAGTTATGTGTGACAAAGAACGCTGCCTATGGAGGGTTTGTGCAAGGAAGCAAAAGGTCACCGAAAAGTGGAAGATCACAAAAGTTATCGAGCCACACAATTGTGCTGACCATGTGCTCACACTGAAGCATCAACAGTTGACATCTATCCTCATTGCCAAGTGGTTGATGGGAATATTGTAGGAAGAACCCAACATGAAGGTTAGGACAATTGCCAGGACCGTTGAGGCATTGTATGGAGGTTATGTGATAACTTATGGTAAAGCTTGGAGGGCTAAGCAGCGAGCATGGAAGATGATATATGGGGACTAGGAGGATGGTTATGAGCAGCTGCCAGTACTTTTCAATGCAATCAAAGCGGTGAATCCAGGAATGCATTATGAGTACATCCCAAAACCAAATGCATAGAAGGATGAGAGGCAGATATTCTTCTGTACTTTTCTGGTGCTTCCCTCAGTGTGTCGAGGCCTTTAGGCACTGTCGTCCCATCTTCTCCATTGATGGTATGTTCTTGATTGGTAAATAACGGGGCACACTTCTTATAGCCATATCCTGTGACGCGAGCAACAAGTTGGTTCCTTTGGCATTTGCTTTGGTTGAGAAGGAGAACAATGATAGTTGGGGATGTTTTTTGAGGCTAGTCTGGATACATGTGGTTGGGCCTAGCAGGGAGGTTGGTGTCATATCTGATAGGCACCAGGGCATACTTAATGCCGTGCGAGAGCAGATAGAGGGGTATGCACCTTTGCACCATCGTTGGTGTACTTGGCACCTTGCCAAGAATCTACTCCGGAAGGTTGGTGTGAAGGATAATTTTGATCTGTTCCAGGAGGCTGCTCGATAGCTTGAGGACAAGTACTTTTAGAAAAAGTTGGAGCAGGTCAGAACCGTATCAAATGCAGAAGGTAGACAATGGCTCACAGGTTTGATGAGGGATTTGGAGAAATGGACAAGAGCTCACGACGCCGGTGGATGGAGGTACGAGTTTCAGTGCAGCAACATGGTAGAGTCATTCAATAAGTTGCTGTTGGGGATACGTGGTATGCCCGTGAATGCAATCATTTAATTCACCTTCTACAAGCTTGTTGCCTGGTTCAACGATAGACACACCCATGCAATGAAGTTGCGGAGTGATGGAGAGATATGGGCTCCAAAACTAAATGCACACCTAGAGAAGGCAAATGAAAGGGATGGCACACATGAGGTTACATGTTTTGACCACACCATAGGGACTTATCAGGTCGAGCATAGGGGCGGTACAACGTCTGACGGCGAGGTCCGAGAGTCAAGGATGCATGTGGTAGTCCTCCAAGATTTCACATGCACTTGTGGTAAACCAAGATAGTACCACTTTCTATGTTCTCATTTGGTGGTGGCAGCTAGGCATCGCAGCTATAATATCAAGAGCAGGATACCTCACGAGTTCAGTGTCTACACGCTTGTGCACACATGGAGCCCCGCTTCGTGCCTTTTCGGGACCCTAGATAGTGGCCTCCATATGATGGGCCAAAGTACATTGCGGATCTAGCTTACCATTGGAACAAGCATGGATCTAGGAAGAGGAAGAGGCACAGGATGGTTATGGATCAGATATCTAGAAGAATGAGGCGTGGGAGAGGAACCCCATTTCTTACTAACCTCGAGCAGTACGAGTGTGGTAAGTGCGGTAGATTGGGCCGCAATTCATGCACTTGCCATTGGCAGATTAGTGAGGTGTGACTATTGGTTGTTTTTATTATTTCATATTTATCGTATTCATTCCATTAATTATGCATGTCTCAATTTATGCTTCTAATTGTGTCAATTACTTTTACATTTCTAAATTTATGTTTTGTTGTATATTGAATTTCTATTTCATTGACTTTTTTTGTAGGATGGCGCAATTCCACCTGCTCGACCTGACGTACGAGGAGACCCACCGAGGACGTCTCATAGCAGAGGGGAAGGTAATAATCTATACATCTTGTTCAAATTTTTGTAAGCGTACATGTGTTCGTGAAGTAACAGGAGACTATGTTTTATTCCATGTAGGACGTTCTGCTCCTTCATCCTAGAACCCAGAACAGGTTCTTAGACATGTAGTACGATGACAGGTACACTCCTTTCCTATAAAGAGCTAGCCTAGATGTCATCTCTTTTTAGGTTCGTCGTGGGTTGCCCACGTTCAACTAAGCGGCCTTAACTGCATTG